TTCCTGTGGTCTGGGTGATTGTTCTCATTCATTTTTTCCTGGGGAAGGATATTTACAGTTAGCCACAACTTTATGAATTCCAGCTCAGTTTATTCCTTTGTGTAGATCCAAACTTTTATCTTGTATACTTTTCCTTCTACTGAAAAAATTTGTGTATTTCTTTGAGAAGACACTGCTGGGAATGCATTTTTTAGGTTTCCTTTGCATGAAAATGTCTTTATTTCACCTTTATTTTTGATACTTTCTTTTCTCACTGAGTACAATTGTAGGTTGGCAGAATTTTTCAGTATTTAAACATGTTGATATATTGTCTTTTGTATTACACAATTTCTTTTTTTAAGTACATTTTATTGATTATGCTATTACAGTGGTCCCATTTTTTCATCCCCTTTATTCCCCTCTTCCCAGCATCATCTCTTTCACCTGCATCTTCCCACCCTTTGTTCATGTCCATGGATCTTACATACACATTCTTGGCTTCTCCATTTCCTATACTATTTTTAACCTCGCCCTGTCTATTTTGTACTTACCATTTATGCTCCTTATTCCCTGTATCTCCCACCCCCATTCTGCCCCTTCCCCCTCCCTGCTGAAAACCCTCCATGTGATCTCTGTTTCTATGATTCTGTTCCTGTTCTAGTTGTTTGCTTTGTTTTTGTTTTTGTTTTTAGGTTCAATTGTTGATAGTTGTGAGTTTGTTGTCATTTTACTATTTATAGTTTTGATCTTCTTTTTCTTAGATAAATCCCTTTAACATTTCATATAATAAGGGTTTGGTGATGACAAACTCCTTTAATGTTGCCTTATCTGCGAAGCACTGTATCTGCCCTTCCATTTTAAATGAAAGCTTTGCTGGATACAGTCATCTTGGATGTAGGTCCTTGCCTTTCATGACTTTGAATATTTCTTTCCAGCCCCTTCTTGCCTGCAAGGTTTCTTTTGAGAAATCAGCTGATAGTCTTATGGGAACTCCTTTGTAGGTAACTATCTCCTTCTCTCTTGCTGCTTTTAAGATTCTCTCCTTATCTTTAATCTTGGGTAACTTAATTATGATATGCTTTGATGTATGCTTCCTTGGGTTCAGCTTCTTTGGGACTCTCTGTGCTTCCTGGACTTCCTGGAAGTCTACTTCCTTTGCCAGATTAGCGAAGTTTCCTTCATTATTTTTTCAAATAAGTTTTCAATTTCTTGCTCTTCCTCTTCTCCTTCTGATACCCCTATGATTCTGATGTTGGAATGTTTAAAGTTGTCCTGGAGGTTCCTAAGCCTGTCTTTATTTTTCTGAATTATTTCTTCATTCTGGTCTGGTTGAATGTTTATTTCTTCTTTTTCCCCCAAATCATTGATTCAAGTCCTGTTTCCTTCTCTTCATTGTTGGTTCCCTGTACATTTTCCTTTATTTCACTTTGCATAGCCTTTACTTTTTCATATATTTTGTGACTATACTCAACCATTTCTGTGAGCATCCTGGTTACCAGTATTTTGAACTCTGCATGTTATAGGTTGGTTATCTCTTCATCGATTACTTCTATTTTGGGGGGTTTGATCTGTTCTTACATTTGGGCCATATTTCTTTCTCTGGGTGCACCTATTACACTGTAAGGGGTGGAGCCTGAGGTATTCACCAGGGTGGGGCAACCCAGGTCATTGCACTGTGGGGGAGAGGGCCAAGAGGGGACAATGCCAACTGGTTGGCACTTGCTCTGCTTTCGATCATTTCCTCCACTACCCACAAGCAAATTGGGCCCTTCTAGTGCTAATTCCTTGGTGGGTAGATTTGTGTATGTTCTAGGTTCCTGTGGTTCTCCAAATAATTCTCTTGTGAGGCTGGGAATTTCTCCCACCACTGCAGCCCCACAGATTTTTACAGCCAGAGGTTTTGAGGCTCTATTTCCCCATGCTGGAACCCTGGGTTGTGTGGTCTATCTCACTCTCCATTTGTTTCTCCCAGATTATCTGCATGCAAATGTAGGACTGCCCAGTCTTTCAGCCACCACCTTGCTGTGCATCTTCTCTGCCCTGACTGCCCATCCCTAACCCTCCTACCAGTCTGAATGAAAGTTTCTTCTTTGACTCCTTGATTGTGGAACTCCTATACAGTGCCATTTCTTGAAAGTTCTGTTTTTTTCTTTTTTTTAATTTGTAGTTGTCATTCTTTTGGTTGTGTGAGGAAGCAAAATATGTCTCCCTATGCCTCCATTTTGGCCAGAAGTCCTATATTACATAATTTCTGATAGAAAGTTTGCCTGTAATCTTTCTCTTTTTTATTTGAGATTTAATCATTACCAAACCATTAACCTACTTAATGTGTACAATTCAATGGTGTTTAATGAATCACAGAATTGTGTAATCATCACCACAAGTAATTTTAGGATATTTTCAATGTCACAAAGGAAACCATGTAGCTGTCACACTTCCCCTAAACCCTAGACAACCATAAATATACATACTTTCTGTATCTATGGATTGGCCTAGTCTTACTATTTCATACAAATGCAATAATGCAATAGGTGAAGTTTGTGACTGGTTACTTTCACTTATTATAATATTTTCAAGATCTGTTTATTTGTAGCATGAATCTGTACTTCATTACATTTCATTGTCTAATAATATTTCATTGTATGGATATGCCACATTATGTTTATGAGCACATCAGTTTTTGGAAATTTGTATTGTTTCCAATTTTTAGCTATTATGACAATGCAGCAGTGAACATGTGTGTACAGCTTTTTGCATTGACATGTGTTTTTATTTCTCCTGCACAACATATTCCTAAGTGTACAATTACAGAGTCAATGAAAACTCCATTCTTATTTTTTTAATATACTGTCAGACTACTTTCTGAAGAATTTGACCAATTTACATTCCTATCAGCAGTGTATGAAAGTTTCGATTTCTTCTTTCCCTCACCAACCTTTGTTATATCTTGTTTTAATTATAGTTCTCTTAGTGGGTGGGAAATGGGAACATATTTTGGTACTGATTTGCATTTTCTTGATGGCTATTGAGGTTAAACATATTCCCATGTGCTTGGTGAACATTTGTAATATCTTCTTTGGAAATAAATATATCCAATTCTTTTGTCCATTTTATAATTAGATTATGTGTTTATTATTAATTTATAAATATTCACTATTTATTCACAATACTGTGATTAAGAGGCTGCTTGCTGGTTTTCAAGGCTATTGCAGAGCTGCGGCTAGTTGGATGGTAGTAGGACAGTTAAAATGCCACAAAGACAGCCATACTCACTAAATTTCAGGGGGTCTTTCTTGAATTAATGCTTCTTGGATTTTTGCAATTCTGTTGTTAATTCACAGAGTTCTTAAAAACTGAGTTTTGGCAATTCTTACCAGTTTTTTGTTGTTTTTATGAAGGGATATATTTTAAAGTTATTTACTTCATCGTTTCAGAAGTGCTGCCTATAATTAATTATACATTCTTTTTCTTTAAAAAGTTTTCATAATTGGAAATTATACACTATTTTTGTAATTGGAAATTATTCTGTTTAATATTGCTGTACAACAAGCTACCCTGAAACTTGATGGTTTATAGAAAAATCCATTTTATTAAGCAAATGGTTTCTGTAGGTCAAAATGGAACACAAACCAGAGTGGGAATGGGTTAGTACTTTTCTTCCATGACTGGTAACTTACAGGAAAGACATGAAAGCTGGGAGTGAATTCTCATTGGCTAGCTACTTCTTCTTGCTGTCTTTTGCAGTGTCATTTTTCTCAACATACTGTCAATGTTATTCCTTAATATTTTAGACCTTTTCCCTTCTGACTCTGTAGTCTTCCTTTGAATGATTTTACCTTATTACTTCAGTTAATGCCTCCTCAAATCTATATTTGAAGCATGTTTTTCTTTCCTGAGTTTTACTCAAGTATACAAGAGAAAAGAATAAATGTAACATGTCAGAAATATTCCTTTTAAATCTGCACTTTTTGTAATATTTCCTAATGAATGATTGCTTTATTCAGTAATTTGTTTAAGTAAGAAAACTAAACTAGGCATTATCCTGTCCTCTTACACACACACCCCCATGCACTAAAGTTTTCTTTCATTTTCTCTAAATCAGAATTCTTACCTAAGTTTTTATATTGTGCAGATCTGTGGTATAACTATAGGTTAAAAAAGTCCATTCAGTGAAGACTTTAAATTCTACATGTCAAGCATTTACTTATGGAAAGCTTTATAATTCATAAGAAATGTTATAGTAACATTAATTCAATGTTATATAGAGTTAATATAGAATGTGAAAAACTGGAAACACAATAAGTTAATTGAAGACATGGACAAGGATAATATTTCTGAGAAATATAATGATGATAAATACCAAGTTATAAGGTGAGGGAGTTAAATAAAACTCTTAAAAAACAAAAGAGAAGACTTTTGGATTAGCTGCCTATGTTCAGAATTGATTATGATAAGTAGTTCTGGATAATACAATTAGAAATGATTTTTTTATTTTTAAACATTTATGTATTTTTCCAAATTTTCTTATTATTTTATCATAAGAAAAATACCATTAAAGTGTTTTAACTTGATTTTGTCTTCATCATATTTTATTCTCTGTTGAGTTTGATTACTCTTTTTCACATTGTCAATACTGTCCTATTATGTGATTAAGATGTATATGATTTTGTGTCTGAGACCCAAGTACATTTTTGCTAAAACTATGGAAAGGTAGTATAAACAATGATTGATGGTTAATACCTAAAAGATCATGTGAAAATGAACGACTGCACAGGGCAAATAAACAAGACAGAGATAAAGGAATGTATTAAGGATGGCGGATGTTTGTCATGTGAATGGAGGAGAACTGTCAGTTTAATGAAGAGGCTATTTATTATTCATCTTTATTTCACTTGTATTAACCCCACCCACATTGAACTCACTAGTCACCATGCTATGGCTGTGTAATCTGGGAGGCCACAGGATAGCCGTAGGAAAATAGATTGATAGAAAATAGAAAGTTCATTTTTATAATAATATTGTTACAACCCAGTATTGTATAGTGTAGTAGAATTAGAAATTGCATGTGTATAAGCTGTAGTAGTGATGTGTTTAATGTTTGGCTTTATGTATTCCCGTAGAACACAGCAGGGCTTATTGTTGCAGTGATTATATATGTATTCCCAGCTGCTGCATGAAGTCTTGCAGACACCACGAACAAGGAAACATTCCGTTTCTCTCTCTGCAATTTCTCTTGTTCTTTCTCTTGTTTTCTTCTGTGAAACTAAGAAAAAGTAGCCATGATTATAAATCCAAATTTAATCTGCTTGCATAGCTAGATGAATAGACAGACAGATCATAGATTGATAAGTAAACAAGGTTGTTTAAAGGACAGAGGTAAACCATTTTGTTCTGAAATCATGTCCAGCCAACTGTGTTAAAAAGCTGTGATTTTATCCGCTGTAAATTGTTATAATATTGTTGGATTTATCCAACAATATTTCCTTTGCTGTTAACATTTTTTGTAAATAGAACATCCTTTAATATCTAATATGTGCATATTTCTTCAATGGAAAAGAGGAAAAGATGTAGAAAAATAATCTACATGTTTTGTGTTCTAAATCGTCATCTATGCCCAACACCCTTCTCCCCACTACAAATGACTAGATTAGTTACAGAAAGCCTAATTTTGACAACAGCTACAATGTCAGTTCATTATATTGCATTTAAAAATAGAGATCCACCAAAACCTCATCATCCAAAGGGACCACTGAGAAGGCAGAAGTCAAGAGCTAGAGGCAGGGTGGAGAGAGACTAAGATTCTGTTGGAGTTTTTATTCACCAACAAAGTATCACTCCATTTATTTCAGTGTAACTTATTTATCAATAAATAATTTTTTCCTCCTATAAAAATAGATAAATAAATGAAGACAGTAGGAAGCACGTGAAGAGTCACAGTCCCTGCCGCAAAAAAAAAAAAAACAAAAAAAAAAACAGGTTTACCTACACATCTTGGGAATCACCTCCACCCCCACTGTCTTACCAATTATCAGTTTCAGTCATTTCTTCTTCCATGCAAAATAGAGTGAATTGTATTATGAATACATGAAGTCTCCTAACAACCATTCATCTGTTTTATTTATCCAGGGTAAAGCATTTATTTAAAGAAAAAACATTTTGCCTTTCTCTCCATTTCCACATTAATAAACATTACCTGATGGACCACAAGACGCAGTAAAGACAAAGATCAGGAAAATACAAAGTATCTTCATTGTTGACATAGTTACTACAGTGAAATTGCAACAGAGCTCAAGATATCCGAGATTTGTGTTATTCTTTGGTAAAACAAAGATGAGCTCTGGTTTTTATAGCCTTCTCAGGGTGATTACTGTTCTGATTAATGCCACCTTTCAAGAATGGGAACATACTCATGTAACTGTTGTGAAATAGCAACAAGCAGATGAGAAGACTTTGTTCTGTTATGACATCAATGAGCCAAATGTGAACTCATTTTCAATCACACAAGCAAAGAGCAGCCTTAAAGTCTTTTTAAATACTGGAACCAAAAGCCCATAATCAGCAGCAGCAGCATTTTTGACCACATGCTTTTTCAAACATATAGTATGTGCCAGGCAGTATTTTAAGCACTTTATATGGATTTACTAGTTTAGTCTTCATGACAATTTCTGACATAGAAATGTTTTATTTTTCAGTTGAGGAAATTGTAGCACAGAGGGGTTATGCAATTGTCTTAAGTCATACATGTAGTGGTTGGTAGAGGGGAAGTGAACTCTAGCGTAACAAGATTCTTGAATCCATATGCTCAACCTCCACCTTCTTCCCTCATAAGTGAGTAATGGGTGTTGAGCGGGTAAAGTTATTTTCTGTGTGCATGGCCTCAGCCAGACACTGAAATGTAACTATCTGAAATGTAACTATCTGAAATGTAACTATCACTGAATAGTTACTATCACTGAAATGTAACTTTTCTACAAACAAAATCTTTCAAGAACATAGTTCTAGTACTGTTATATTGAATATTCTCCTAGTTATTCTATAAGAATAATCAGTATAATTCTTTACATACCATGTAATGAATCAATCAGAGGTTTACCTCATTCATTGGGGAGAGCAGTGAGTTAAAACCTAAAAGAGCACTGGATTTAGATGCAGAAAACTAATCTCAAGATAGGGCTCTTCTGTTTACTAGCTGTGCATTTGGGATAAGTTTTCACTTGCTGACCCTCAAGATTCTCTCTTTAAAAGCTAATCAGCAAAACAAACAAGTAAGCAAAATATAACTAAAGACATTGAAATAAAGAACAAACTGACAGTAACCAGAGGGGAGGTGGGAGGGGATAATGGGGAGAAAGGGGGAAGGGTTGTCAAGGAACATGTATAAAGGACACACAGACAAAGCCAAAGGAGGTAGGTTTGAGGGTGGGAAGTGGGGGTGGCTGGCTTGGTGGGGAGTGGTAGGGGAAAGATGGAGACAGCTATATTTGAACAATAATAAAAAGGAGAGAAAAAAAGAAAAAATATTTGTCAAATTTAAAAAAGCTATATCGGTAGTACCAACCATATTTACAGGTTTATGGTGAGGATTAAGTAGATAAATGTGTAACCACAATGCTCTATGCCTGAAACTATTATAATGTTGAATGTAAATTATAATTGAAAAAATTAAAAAAAAACTGCCAGAAATAAGAATCGTTATCCATTTCTTTGAGTGTGAATGATGATAAGGAGGAACTAATGCTCTGTTTTCCTAAGTTTAAAAAAGTAATTACAGACTTTACAGACTTTAAAAGTAATTACAGACTTTAAAAGTAATTACTGAGCCACTGGGTGGCTCAGTTGGTCGGACCATCCTCCCATACACCAAAAGTTTGTGGGTTTGGTCCTTGTAGGGGTGCATACAGGAGGCAACTGATTGATGTCTTTATCATCTATCTATCTATCTATCTATCATCTATCTATCTATCTATCATCTATATCTATCTTTATTGCTATCTCTCTCTCTCTCTCTCTCTCATCAAGAAAAAACACACCCTTCGGTGAGGATAAAAAAGTTGTAATTATAATCTTCCACTCTAAATATAGATTGTGTAAAACAGAGAGATGAAAGAACTGTCTGGACCAGGTGTATTCGCTGCACACAGAAGGTATTTTTTGTGACTCTACTTTCTATTTTTTAGTTTTATTTTTACCAAAGGCTTGGTTCTTACTAGATACCCAATAAGTAGCAGTGAACATTTGTTGAACCTTTGCAAAATGCTGGTGTCTACCTGAAACCTTTACATTTATCTCAATTAAACATAGCAATAACCTTGTGAAATATACATTACTTTTACTGTCATCATTGCTCAAGCAGGTAAATGAGGCTTAGAGGCCTTCCTCTAACAACTTGTTTAAAGTCGCTGTACTGGTAATCACTGTTGCTGGTGCTAGACCCCAAAGCAGCCTGCTTCTTGAACCCACATTCTCATCCACTGCACCAGAATCAACGAATTTGTGAATAGTTTCTGAAAGAGAATAATGAGTTTTCTAATTTCTTTATAACTTTTTATAGCATAGCACTAAAATTATTTAAGCTTTATGAAATGATAGGTGACTAACAGACTATAAAAATTAAAAAAATTAATTCATGCTCAGAAATAACAGGAGGATTAGCTGAATCCAGTGGTTCCTGACCTTCAAAATCTTTAGAATCCACTGGGATAATTTTTACAAATACACACTCCTAGGCACCACCCACAAAGATTCACTCTGTTATTTAGTTGTGTGGTTCAGAAAACCGCACTTTTAAATAAACACCACAGATCTTTCCAATGCTGACCCAGCTCTGATACCACTGATTTAGCCCCACTCTCTGCTCTTGTCAGACATGAGCTCATGGACAACACATGATTTCCCATTGGTATAATCAGTCTCGTTCTCTGCTCTAACCAAGTGTGCCCGGGATGCAGAATGAATCATATTTTTCTCCCCACCAAGCCCAGGACAATATGAACACCCCTGGAAACTTACATCCAAGCTGCCTCTCAGGGCAGTGTAATCATGTGGACAGACTGACCTGAGTGTGAGTGTTACTTTGCTACTGTCTGGCTTTGTGGGCCTGGAGCAAAATGTGTTTCCATTCTGAGTCTCAGTCTTCTTAAGGGTATTGGGAGTAATATTAATCATCTTGCATAGATAATGTGAAGATTAAATGAAACAAGCTGAATACTTGATCTGACATAAACTAATGCTTCTTTCCTTCAATTTCTTATCATTCCACATTTCACTGTGTTCCAGGATTTATAAGCCACTGTGCCATGCAGGGAATGTCACCCTTTGATAGTTCACATGCTTCATGATCCAGGATACCACCTCTGGATAAAAAATAGTTTAAATAATGTAATGTAATATAATATAACATAATATAATATAATGTAATATAATATAATATAAATAATTGTGTTTATATAGGTATATATGTACGTATATATCTGTGTGCAAATGTATATGTATTTCTGTAGATACATATACTTAGAAATGAAAACAAAAAAAGAAAAAGTAGGAATAAAACATCTAAAATTAAATAATGAAATCTGAGAATATTTACCTATATTTCCTTGTAGAAACATGTCTCTCAATGATATCACAGGTGAAGTCCAATTTGTCTTCCCTTCTCTTCCCTGTAAATGTCCTACTGTAAAGTCCTAGTTTGTTAAAAATCACTGTAGTCCATAGTACGTCTGAGAAAATAGCTTCTAACATGAGATCACACCAAAATTTATTTTAGGAACTAAGACCAAACTATAGAATATTGAGAGCTGCCAACTGCATGCTCAGATCCCTTTGAAAGTGCTCCACAGCCTCTCAGAAATGAGCGAACAAGATTTATAAAGGTATTTCAAAAGTCCATCTAACAGTTCCTTACTTCTAAGCATCCATACACTTGACAAATCACCTCCATCTAATATCTCTCGACTAGACTAACTTTAGGATACAATATGTGCCTATTCCTTGACATTAGAAAAACCTGGAGTTGAACCTTAGGCAAGCTTTTACTATCAAAAATTATCTATTTTGAGATCCAGTTTCCTTATCTATAAAATAGTGATTTTAATATGAAACTTATTAGACTGTACTACATATTAGGTAACACAAGAAACTGACAAAGAAGACACTCACTAACAACTTTAAAAATTACTCACTTCTTACTATGTATTGGCACAACTTAAGGCTCTAGGATAAAGCAGGAGACAAGGTAGCCTGGTCACAGCCATGCTTGGAGCTTAATTTTCAGAGATGAATTGCTCTTCACAAAATTCAGTAGAGTGTTAGGAAAAAAAGTGACTATCAAGAAATGCTCATGAATGAACTCTACCATCTGAAGAAAGGGATGGCCAACAAAAAGTGGCTTACACAGAGAAACCTAACTGTTCTTGAGCAATGAAGTGTGTAAGGAGAAAAGAGCAGGTCAGGGAGCTGACAGTGGTAGAGGGAAACCCAGGGTGTGGCCGGGTTCCACCTCATTGGGCTTTTGATATCATGGTGAAGCGGTGGATTTGAAAATAAGTTTGATGGAAGCAATTTAAGGGTTCATGAATTCCCTGGTAGGAGAACAGTTTGGAAGGGAGTAGGAGGAGAGGGAGGTAATTTCAGAGACTACTACAGCCTGTGAGGGAAGATAAGGTGTCTCTCTGAGCTGCCTGTCCATTGTTCTCCTCCCCGCTTACTAGTTTCACCAGTGGTTTCACTAGTTCTCACTGTGAACCTGCCTGAACTCCTACCTCTCTCTCTGACCGCAGATGAGAAGAGCCTGTCCCCAATGCCTGATACATTTTTGTGTCATTGATCATCCATGTGTGTCTGTCCTGTCCGCCGGGCTTCCTGTCGGTTGTGGGTTGGATTTTCTGTGCTAACTTAAAGAACAATCTGATAATAGGATTACTGAGCCAAATGGGAATTTAGAGCAGAGTTTTTCTTTCATCTCACAATGCTCATGCACTTTAAAGGACATATACATCCCCCAATAATGTTGCCATCGAATACACAGATAATAAAACCCACAAATCCCACATGGAAAACTTCAGGTTAGTTGAAAGATGAATATAAATGCTTGAGAGAGGAAAGGGGGGCAGGGAGAGATGAAGGAGGAGGGAGGGAGAGAAAAGAATCACATTGATTAGTAGATGGATGCAGCTCTATTGCGTTGCTAAAGCAGTGTTTCTTGAACTAGTGTGCATGTGAATTGCCTGAGTTCTTGTTAAAATGTGATTCT